TTTTTCTGTTTTTATACGATACTGATGATTACTAATTCCCTGGGAAGAAAATTTTAATTTTTTTGTCTATCTGCTGTTGACTGTACTGGTCGTTTCATTGATCAAAACCCGATGAATCCAATGCGATTCAAATGAGAAAATAAAGAAAGTTGAGGAGACTAGGCACATGCTTCATTTGCACACGGGGTCATCAGCTGTAGCGAGACTGAAAGAAAATGAATCTTTAGCATGGTAGTCAGATGTTTAATTTTAGGGTTTTCGGATAAATACTTGGATGCGAGTCGAAACGTGGTTCAGCAAACCGTACGCAATACTTACCTGTCCTATTAAGTAGGGAGTAGTCGTTTCACGCCCGGTGTTGTTAGGCACAAAACATTCGATGGAACGTAATCTGTTTTCAACATTGGGGGAATATGTAACTCCTAAGTAGTCGGGCCAACGAAAAACGAAATGTGTTCAGAATCAGATTTCCTATGAAACATTACGAAGTTATCTCCGGCAGTTGTGGGCAAGTGATAACATCACCAAATTATCAGCTCGGAGAACGTGCGTTCAAATCCCACCCTAATCTTCCAACATTCCTCTTTCTAAATTGTATGGCACTTCTTTCACTAGTCACTTCTCTCTCTAAAATGATTTCATTTTATATTTAATTAATAAACATGAATTGGCAATTTGGTTCAGCCCTGGTAGGAGCTGGTTGGCACAGTGGTAACACACACTCCTTCCATGCGAAGTTTTACAGCCTGGAAGGGATGGTAAATATGCACTCCTGGTGAACCCTAATCAACGCGAAGCTCGAGTCCACCGCTTTTAAGTGTATGGTTCACTGGAAGAGCTTTGGATTGTGAGTGAAGTTGCAGTCCTAATGACAGTCAGCTCAAATAGATATAAATTGTTCCACACCACTACTCACAACTAACTGTGAGTTAGATTTGAATTAAACATGTATAAATGAACAAATATGTACAATTCTGTTTCGGAGATCAAAGAGCGGTGAATTTTAAAGCTTGCACCATGTTTGGAAGACATACGTTGCGTGCGGAAATGCGCCATCTAGAACGAAGCTGAAGTTATTTATCAAATAATATCAGTATTACTTATTAAGGTTGAATACGGTCAATGGAGAACTTTCGTTTCCAGTAAAAATAAACTTTTACTACTAAATATGGCACAATGGCACACAATGTGGTTGTCTGGGTGGTATATGTACACCTCCAGAAGCAGGTCCATTTTATGCTTGATTCTCTTTTAGTTTTTGAATCACAATATTTATTTTTGCGGAACGGAATAAACTCCAACTACGTTCCACCACTTCTTTACGTAACGGTCCCTCTGAAATACTTGGCTTCGTACCCACAATCGAATTAATAGATAACCCGAATAATAATGAGTACGAGTAAGCAAGATTCAAACTAGCATCAATCGTTTACTTCGTTCCATCCGGTGAGGAAGAACCTGAACTCGGAGAGTACTGTGTTCTAGCTATCAGTATCGACCGGATTTAAGAGACGCGAATAGAGATCTAAACGGGTCTACTCCAGAAAAGTGCAAACGTTCTGAATGAATCAATTTTGCAATCTCTGGCAGGTAAGAATCAATCAGGAGTAGGTAGTAAGAACACGACTTTTCAATGTCTAATGATGATATTAATCATCAAAAGCATGAGTCCATGGGCACGTATGTAATTCAAATTGTGATTTACACTCACAAGCGCGTATCCTTCAACGTGTCATTATTCAGTCATGTGACTGGTTTAGATGGGAGAACCGAACACAATCGTGCAACTAGAATCGGTGCAGCTTTTTAGGAATAAACAACGGGTATGAAAACAAATGTGCTCCGAGAATCGGCCAAAAGTTAAGACTGGTTTCCATCGGTTGACTGCAGTCGCCTCGACGATCATAAACATCCTAGCAGTATCTTTCGAACATTTTGTGATCACATTGAAAGAGAATCAATGAGAACCTGTCTACTGGCATCGGTTTAGTCGAGACTGTTACTTCTGTGCACTACGAATGTTCATTCACATTTGAAGGAAAGGCGTACACACAAGTTGCCTGCGTAGCCATGAGATATCTTTTCGGGACTGCTAATAATAGACTTATTCATGATGTATTTGGAATCCTGAGCTCAGAACTGTCAGGAAGGTTCAATTCCAAAAAAAATCCGGTCGAAAACTTCATTTGTTTTGGCGATAATAGCCAAGAAGAAAAAGGCACAGCCGGACGAGTCTCCCGCCCGCAAATGATCGATCGCTGTATTCAGCCGGACGGCCCGACTTTCCTGATTGGTCAGACAGCCGGGCGGTCCGACGACTCTGACTGGTCAATTTATGCCGAACGTTTGGAACGCACCGAACGCAATAAAAAGAACGAATGTCAACGAAAATCGACAAGCAAGAGAAGACACTTTTTTTTTCTAATATACTGTCCTGTGCCATTCTGATTGTGTTCTCTTTTTCGGCTCAGAAGTTGGTGGTGCGATAGCAGTCTCAGCAACAGTCTCTACACAAAAAGAACTTACTAAAATGAGATACGTTATGTTGATGTTATATTCTCATCATGAACAGAACTTCCTCGAAGAACTAACTCGAATACGTCCGAAAATACGATTGAGCATGCAGACTGAAAAGAACAATAGCATGGGTTTTCTTGACATAACAATCACTCGAATGCCAGATGGAACCATGTCAAGGTCGCTTTTTATCAAGGTGAACTGGAAAGGTCGGTACATGCATTAAGGAAGTTTTGTGCCAATGGCACACAAACTTGGTCTCGCTCATACCCTATTCTACAGAGCCTGGCGATTTTGCACTGGCGATACGATATCAAACGAAGTTAGCCCGTCGCGTACGGTATTGACAAGAAATGGCTATTCTGAGGAACTTGTTGACAGGCGCAGTAACTTGAAAAGAGAAAAGTTCGTTTTCACGCCAGTATCTGGGTTAGTGGTCACGATTTGTCTTCATTTTCAAGGTGAGGACGCGACTAATCTATTCCAAAGACTTTTACAAACGGTTGGCAATAGGACCTACTAAGCGGTCGAATCCCTTTTCGCAAGGATCAGATGCACATCGGTTCCCCGGTTAAAGATCACCCGACTCTGTAAGCCTACTAAAATTTAATCTATTAATTCCAATGTAGCTGCAATGACACTTACATAGGTAGAACAGAAAGGCAATTACATGATCGGGATTTATAACGCATTCCGAACAGGGTCTAACGCCAAGATTGAAATGGCGTGGACCGTGCTTAAAAGATACTAAACGTCTCACTTGGCAAGCATTTGTTGGTAACGAAATACCTCTTTATTCAGAAGAAAACATTGAAAGTACTTTATGTTATCTATAACTTCGGAATTATCAAGATCACCGAGGAGATTGTGGTCAACTGATGGTAAGCAATCTTGCATCAACAGCAAGACTGCCTGGGCGACCCCAGCTTCATCCACGTTTGGATATTTTATAATCTATTCCTATACCATCTATTACCATTTGTAGTTGTCTGAGGCAGACACCAGCTGAGTTGCAGCAAAATCGTCTAGGTCAAAAATCGGGTAGTGTTGCCACACAGGCTTCTCTTTTTAACTCTATTACGAGAAAAGCCTGTTTCAGTTTCAAACTGAGAGCTATATCACGCACCCAAGATTTTAGCTGAAAATTTAGTCCACACAGCCCAACAGACCTACGATGCTTGAAAACTGAATAGAAGGTCGATCGAACTTTGGTGCTTTGATACTGAACGATAAAGAAAATGCAATTAGATCAAACACCGGACTATGATTTGAATATTGACGGTAGTTCATTCTTAGAGTGGATATTGTTAGACTTTGGGGTCAGTCGCTGAGAGAACATGAATAAATTAATAATAAATTTCTTTATTTGCTTAGCAAAGGAGTGTGAGACATGAAGCTAGGGAATGTAGGTGTAGAAGACGTTCTGGTATCATCCCACGGATAAAGAGTTCAAAGAAATTCGGCTTGACCGTGGCACAAAGTATTCTAGGTAATATGGTGCACATGGAAACCAGCTCATAAGTTTACGGTACATACCGTACTGAGCTCTCTCTGGTGAACTCATTAATGGATGCTGTGTGTGGAACGACAAAGCCTGTCACTTTTAAGATTTTCACCTGTGAGCGGGAACACCAGTCAGAAGAATAAAAAAATATCAATTGTTTGCAAGAATTAGATTTGTAAGTGTGGTATTTAAATCATCTATTGTAAATAGTGATGCAGCGGTTCTGTGGCGGTCACGGCGCATACAAGTAACTCCTGAAGAGTGGTCATCCCCTTCGAGCAAATACAACGTCCCAGTCCAGGCAAATTTGATCGTGAAAACATCTCAACAGGGGGTACGTTAAAGCAAACAAAAAACACCGACTGAAAATACCGTTTACCTCTGTAGTAAAGACAGCATATAATTTCTCCTGTTATGACAGAAATCAGATGCTACAACTAGGGAACCCGTATTGATTTCGTAAGTCATCCAGTCATTTCACGGAAAGTAGATCTGGGCTTCTAAAACTATTCTCTGAGATAAATCTGTTTCATCCAATGAAACTGTGTTCATGGAGGTTTAGAGGCTATTTATTATTGACAAATCAGATACTCAAACGTGAAATTACCATATTGATTCCCAATATTTAATCGAAAAAACGACCCTTCTAGCTGTTGAAACCCTCGATGAATATTAATAATCACACACTATGTTGTGCAGACGTAGAAATTAATATCAATATCATCAATAGAAGTGCCAGTTCTTCAAAAGATAAGTTATCATTCTACTGTGGGAAAATAGTGAAATAGCATGATATTGATTTCATTGAAATAAAGAATAAATAGAAGTGGAGAGAAGAAAAATTAAATATGCATGTGAAATCCGTAAAATGTAGTGGATAATTGATTATTGGATAAATTAAATATCATCTTGAGGTGAACGCGTTAAAGGTTGCTGGGGTTTATTTCTCCCAGGCTATGAGTAAATCCACCTCGTTTCACTAGACCCGAGATTTCTGCGGCGGTGGAACATTTAGTTTGTATTCACCCTGATAGTTTCCCGGTGGTGTGTACCGACCGACCACATACGCCGAGTGTCCATCTTTGGTGATAGCTCGACCGAAACCAGCATGTGTTGTCTCCTTCCAAATGACCTGGGTGAAGTGGCCTGAAACGTATAAGCAATAAAAAAATCAATGGGCTTTCAGTTGATCGTGTCGTATTAAGTGAGATGTTGGAGAGTAATGAGGTAAAACTAGTGCGTGTTGTTACGAAGATCCTGTGGTAAAGACTGGCTGCTTCATTTTGTTGTCTTTATCGGTCCCAGTAATAACCAGATCTGCAATTCCAGTGTATTAGCTGTAAGTAACTACACAGTCGCATGATCGCAACATATTTTCATCATCGAACCACTGAATTCACATTAGCTCTCAATTTTGCCGGTTCCATCTGGCAACCTAACCCCAGGAAGTAAGTCACTATTACGCTCACACCGCGCATATTCTCTGCTTACGTCTGATAGGCTTAAGTGCAACTATTAGGATTGTTTCGTAGAGAAAACGTGATAAGGTTCTTCTACCATATTGCCCTTGTAATCTGAAAACAGATTATCTATCTTCCACGGTTACACAGTCGATAAATTCCTGATATTCTATTGTCGCCTCCCATTATGATGCTACGACCAGTTCCGTCACCAGCGGAAAACGGACCTGTTCTCCATGGAGCTCCGTGCGTCTCAGCTTTTTAGTCCCTTCGCTCTTTACACGACGAACTTCACCAAGTTTGGTTTGTTTTATACTCATACCGTGGTTTCAGTGCTTGTATTCATTTGTGTGCCGCTTGTGATCATCAAAGCTACCAGCCGGAGTTCAATCGCTTGCTTTGTGCACGTTTGCACGACAACTCACCGCAATCACTGAAGCCGATCCCAGAACCAAATTTGTCCAGTGTTTCAACAACCCCTCAGTCTCAAGGGAGAGAAACCGTGTCATATCCTATTTGAAACTGACTAGATTTTGGGGATATGCACAGTTCAGTCCCTGCGTAGGAATCTAATAACAACATGTTGCCAGAAGATGGTCGCACACCGTATATATATCTATATACTCTACACCGGCTTGTGAACAAGCATCGTGCCAACGTCACAACAATAATAACAATAACAATAATAGGGGATAGATGGATCGGGCTAAAGAACAAAGTAGAAAGAGGGTGAAACAATTAAATACGGGAAGATAGAAGATAACTGGGATAACAAAATGTTTTTGTTTCACCGTAAAATGTTTGATATCTTTTTGTTTTCTGTTATTTTTACGGGGCAAGGGATTTCGACAGGCAGACCGA